TGTCTCCTTCGGAAGATATCGTCCGACTTCTTTAAATCAATCTTCACTCCGTACCCTAATGTAAATCGGGTTGTCAAGACTGTAAAAAAATAATAATTAAAAAAGATTAAATAAAATATGAAAGAAAAAAAATCAAAATTTCGATAACAAAATCTTGAAAACTTATATAAATTATTTTTTTAAAAATTTCGGTTAACTTACGTCAAAATTCGCTCGCGTATATCGGGTTCCGAGTCCCAGTCTTCGTCGGACGAATGTGGAGTTTCCACGTACCTTGGAACTTTCAAATTCCCATGCATTTTAGGCGGTGTGGTGTCCGGCCTCCACAGGCAATTCTCCTCGTGCTCCCTCAACTCCTCGTACTCTCCGCAGGTCAGACAACCGTATTTACAGATTCCGATCGGCTTGCCGGTGTGCCGCAACTTGCATTTGTGAAAGTGGTTGTGAAAGCGAGAGACCCTCACTTTGTGTTCCTTGAAGAACGGACAGGTAACGACGACTTGACTTTCCATCGTGTTGGATGCTGAGGACGCGGTCCACGAACCTTTTTATGCTCGTCGAGCGAGACGCGATGACGTTCACTCTACCGATGCCGTTTTGCGTACGGTGAACCCCCATGTCGTCGTACACCTGCACTCGACACCAATTACGTCATCGTTACAGACGTACATCTGCCAATCGTTGGCGTCACCTAAGTTCGGAATAGATGACGTCATCGTTATCGAACGAAAATCGGTATAAAAATGTTGGATCGTCTCCCTACCGTAACTTCTCGCTCAAACATGGAGACTGTCAGTAGCAACGAGGAAATACTCGCAAGACTGTATCGATATGTAAGGGATCTTGGCGGACTCGTAATAATCCAACGCCAGATTTACTACCTCGCAGTCCCATCCGATTACCCTGAACATCTTTTGGAGATCTTGCATATGCTACGAAGTTATCACTGCGAATTCGATCTGAAATTGGAGTCTTGCCTTATGGAAATCGACAAAATTTTCACGAACCTGACGACCGGAGTCGGTTCGACGTGTCCTGCTAACGTAACCGTCGACGAATTCGAAAAGATTGTTTGTCCGGATCTGAAGACGGCAGTTCGAAATCTAAACTGCTATGTTACAACTACGCTGAATATTGCAAATAGGAATGAGTTTAACTTCCTGGCCGATTTATACGCAAGTGCAAAAACATTTTCAGATTTGGTACATGGACAAGAGGTGTCACTACAGAAGTCTCCGAAACCTGACCCGCACTAGGAACAAGCGGTGATCGATCGATCGACATGCGAGAAATTTCGCTCGATCCTTTCCAAAATCAAAGTAATTCTTTCCGAAATCAATCCTCTGATCTGGTCCGATTGCAAGTTCTTTAGACTGCAGATGATCAAGTACGTGCTTAACGCGCACTTTATGATGCTCGAACGTGTTCTGTCCAGGTTAACAAATTGGGAAAAGGATCCGCAGTCGAGTGTCGACGTCAAAGAACAGGTGTTTCGTACGGTGAACGTACAGACATTCGTCGTGGCGGCAACCGAACTTAGAAACCAAGAGGACGCTATGCTCGGTCTGTTGATGTCGTGCCATAATGAAGACGGAATAGACGATATAGCCAGAGCTATTACCGATTTTACTGCAACTTTGTCAAACTTGGAATATATCACTAAAACATAAATTTTCAAACTTGCGTTGTTGAACATATGTGTGATATACTCAGAAAATAAATATACCGAATAAATAACGTTGAACCATAATTGCGTTTATCTAGTATTTTCTTTTTATTTATGTTTCTAAGTGAGAGAAGCTGATGATGGTATTGACAGTGATGATCCTAATTGCTGATGCCAAATTTCCAGACGAAGAAATCAAGTTAACTACAAAATATATTTTTTTTCTTTCTCTTAACCTTTATTCAACCCATTATGTCAAAGACAAAAAAAATACACTACTTTGATCTAAGAAACGTAACGGCAGTGGTGCCATTCGAACAAGATGTGGGGAACGATTTTGTTCTTCTTAAATAAGAAAGGAACGCCTTCATTCGAGATCGCGAGAAACTTTTTCGTGGACGAGTGTCTGTACAGTAGTCCGGAACCCGCCTTCTCTTCCTCCCAAAAGCAGTCGTTCTCGAGTTCGTGAGAAGGACATTCTGCCACGGTGTACAGTTCGTCTCTTATACACATCTAGATGTGTACCCGTCCTGCAAGAGAGCATCGCCATCCTGCCGTTGTTCAACGGCGGCGTTTGCAGGCGGTCGCAGTCCTTCGTCGTCGTATCCTCGGAGACGAAGGCCGTCGTCGTCGACACGGAACCATCCTCGACTATGCACAGTTTGTGCTGATGGCGTCTGTGCAGATTTTTCAATCTGCATTCCACAGTTCGCTTCTTGCAACGTCCGTCGCCTTCGTCGGACCAACTTTCTTCCGATTCGGCTATCGACTCTTCTTCGGTTGGCGCCACCTCCGCAGGCATCGCGTAGTTTGCGTCGACCGAGACGTCGACGGCGATATCCGTAAGTTTTGAAGGTTGCGAGAGCGAACAGTTGCTGCACGTCCAAGTAGTTTCTCCATCCGTGGGAAACGAGCAGTACGCGCAATTCCACTCTCCTTCGACGGCCGTCGTAAACCAGAGCAAGCACACGACCAGCACGTTCCTCAGCATCTCAGTTCTCCGAATCCTATTTATTGTTTTGTTGTTGTCGATCTTCATTCGCGAAAGCAACACTTATACTTCTAAACGCTCGCCAACACTGGCTCCTTCACGACGCCGTAGTGCACCGGCGTCGTCCTGCAATGGTTCCGTTTGGAGAGTTGGAGCAGGTCGGTGACCCGATTCTCCACGTCGCCATGTCCAGCTCCGAGACGAGCAGTTCGGAGTCGAAGGGAAGCTGTAACTCCCTGGCCATCTCGTCGATGCAATCGTTGTACAGGGTCGTCATGGTCAGCGTCTTCTTGTAATCGTCATCGACTCCGTGCGGCAGGTTCAGAAGAGTCTGCTTGAGCGTGTTCATCAGACCGTGCGTGTCCACGTTCATCTTCATGGTGCTCACGTTGCAGTCCAGCTTGTTTATCATCCGAAAAATTTTCTCCA